GGATCCAGAGGCAACAGCAGCGGAAGGAGTGTGGAAGGCGGAATCTCCTTCCAATCCTAGGGACTCCTGGAAGAGTCAACTCCAGCTGGAAAAAGCCCAAAAGGTGGGCTCAGTAGTTAGGTGTGAAGGGAGGAGGATATGGTTTTTCCTCTCTGACAGAGTGGAGCCTACAAGCTGAAGAAGGTGTGTTGGGGAGGGGGCAACAGACTGGATTGGGCTGAAGGTGAACTTCACAGATCACTAGAGGGCAAACACCCAGCAGCCCACTTCTCTGCTGGGTGGTCCTTCCAAAAAAACAAGCCCTGATACAAACCTGGCTCACCCCCAATCCTCCTCAAATCCACTGCACCCCTGCACTTGGCCATCCCTCCCAAAAATCCTGGCTCCAGGGTTAGAAGAGCTCCAAACGCTGGCTCCCTGGTTGACCAAGTGCTCTTAGGCAAGTTGCTTCACTTCTCCGAGTGAATGTAAAGAAAGGATAAAATATCTAGTTCATACGACGGTGTTTAGGAATGAACAGTACTTTTATAGTCTATCTCAGTACCTGGAACACTGCAAACGCTCCGTGACACTCATTTTAATGCTATTTTTATTTATTTTGTTTCTGATTCAGAACCGCCCCCCCCCCCTTGCTTGACTCGGAAAATTCAAGCTTAATTCAAAGTGAATCTCCTCATGTGGCCCCTAGAGGGCGCCCGGAACCCACTTGTCCTGAGTTTGCGAATTTAAATATGAGTCTGATTCCCATTTAAAAGCCAGAGGCTGCAGAGCTACCAACAGCCACCTTTGAATCATGAGGCTCCTCCCTCTCGAGGAATGGGAAGAAATGTGGGATCTGGGACCCTCGGGTGGAAAAGCGGAGGGACAGCTCCCACGACAGCCTTCCTTTGGGAGGCACGTCGCGGCTGGGACTTCTCGCCGCCCTTATCCCCACATCCTGTCCCGCCTTCTCACATAGGGGGCTGGATCTCCGGCACTGCAGGAGGTGGTAGAGATCACTGAAAGGCCTAGACTTTGCTGGGGTCTTCTGCCTGCCATGGGGGCCTTGGGGAGCTGCAGAAGGAAAGCTGAAGCCCCCGTCGGCGGAAGCCCCCGCTCCCAAGGCCCTCCTGCAGAATTGGACCCTCCTCCATCTGGGTTGGGGGAACAGGAGAGAGGAACTACAGAGCTCCTGAGGTAACAGCCTGTGGAACTAGCCAGGCAGTGACAGGCGTCAGCTTGTGAAAGGGTAACCACAAGCCCCGGCAGTGAAGTGTGCACTCTGTATGTGGCTGGCTCCACACACCCGCGGCTTCTCTTGTGCAATATTGTACACCCAAGATGCTGTAGGCTGCACACAGTAGTGCATGCTGGGACCGGGAGGTGAGTACATTCGTACTCACTTCCCAGCTCTAGTGCGGTCCTTAGTTCTCAGTACTTACCTGACTCGCCCATCCCCCATCCTCCACCACTGCTCCTGGTCACCAGGTTTTCTCTGGGCTAATTGGAAAACCCGTCCTGGCTCCCGTCTGCCTTCAGCCTGTTCTGTAGGCGCTCCCCACAGCCAGAGGAGAGCACAGGTGTGTGGGTACCTGACGGCTTCCGGAGCCAAATGCGTTAGGGCTAAATCAGGGTCCCTCTCAGCCACGCTGGAAAAGTGATGGGAACAGTTTAGTCGCCCTGAGAGAGAGAGCAAAACCTCAGAGGAAAGCTGTGTGGACTATACACAAGTGGAGTGAGGGACGCAAAGCTTGAGGGTGGGGAAACCCTGGGTCTGAGCGTAACTTACCTTCCAGCACTTCACAGCCTTAACCTAGTAGGAGGCATCTGCTTAAATGTCTCAAGAACCTACCACCTATACCAGTGGTTCTCAACCTGTGGACCGTGACTCTTTTTTGGGGAGGGGGGTGTTGAATGACTTTTTACGGGGATCACTTAAGACTTCGGAAAGACTTACATTACGATTCTTAACAGTAGTAAAATTACAGTTATGAAGAAACAACGAAAATAATTTTATGGTTAGGGGTCACCACGACATAAGGAACGGTATTATAAAGGGTTGCAGCATTCGGAAGGTTAAGAACCGCTCACCTATACTGTCCGTCCATAGATCACTTATTCACAAAAGGACACCCCGCATGCCGGCAACCGCATTGATTGACCCTAGGTCATCAATAGTCACCAACTAGGGAGCTTCTGCACAGCCTCCCACCCCCACCCCCAGCACAGCTCTGGCCACACAAAGCCTCTATTATAGTTAACAGGTTGAGCCAGATTTTCGGTGTGACACCCACTGCACAACTAGGGGGCCCTTTGGCCCCCAGCCCTGCCTGGGTTCCTGGGGCCACAGACTGCGGTCCAGTCAATCTCTTCCACCCAGAGCACGAAGTCTCAGCCGCTGCCAGAGGCTCGCCGGTGAAAACGCTGGGGATTTGGTCAGTGCCACAGGCTCTCTCTAACCAAAGAAGAAATTAAGCCGTTCTGCCCTGACAAGTTTGTAAATTCTTTTTTCTCTCTCAACACCCTGGCACACATTTATTCAGATAATATTTTTTCCATTTCTATTTTTGATCAGAAATGGAGTTTCTGGCAGACGTGACTGAAAACCGCGAGTTTTTGAGTTTATTTTTTCTTGGAGTGCTGGGCCTTGCTTGACCCTCACAATCCCTCCTTCCGGACTTCAGCCCCACTACAGAGAGTACCGGTGCTGCAGCTCGGTACAGGCCTGGCCGGCGTCATCATTTTCTAGGTGATTGCAGTGCTCCGGGAGCCCTCGATGCACACGGGATTCACTGAGATTCGGGCCCAACGAATTCTCGGCGGCGGAGAGGGGAAAGTCCTGGGTCGCTTCTCAGCAACAAAGAATCCCGATTCTTCCTGGAGTCTGATGCCCCTGATGCGGGGCCTGGGAATCCCTGAGTGGTCCGGAGAGAGCGAAATCCTGAGGTCTGGAGCACGTAGGCGGTGTGGTTAGCTCAGTGGACACCCGCACCAGCCATAGCGCTAGGAATGAGCCCGGGGTAGGCAATGCTCTAGTCCCAGACGAACTAAACAGAATCGGTGAGGAGCGGGGACTTAAGGCTCCAGGCTTGCATCAGTTTTGAGTGCCAGTGCAAAACTATGAAGACGAAAGTAACAGGCATGGGAGGGGGGGTGCCCAATTTTGCTTTCTGTCTCTGTAAGAGAAGGCGAGAGTGGTGAGTCTAGCCTTGAAGTCAGTTTGGGACTTTTGTGCTTGGGCCCTGGGACCTCTACTCAGTTGGGCAGCCTGGCCAGGAAATATCCGGGGTCCTCCAGACGCTTCATACTATACTCTTGACGTTAACCAGGCTTTCAGAAGGCACCGGTCCTGCACAGAGGACTCGGATCCTATACTCAAAGATACTAATGGAGGAGATGGAAGAAACGCTGGGAGAGAGAAAGCCGGTGGTCTACAGCTATGGCAGTGAACCTAGGGCAGCCAGATCCGTCCAAGTCAAAAGACTCTCCGAGGTTCTATGAGGTTGCTTCTGGACTTTGCTTGGTTCAGTGTTGTGGCTTGTGAATGATGTGTGCCTGCTCTATACAGAGCTCCTTCGGTGGCCAACACAGAGTCAATCCTCAGCATCTCCTGTTAGGAAAGCTGGCCAGATCTCCTAGACCCAGATGTCTCTTTTGCTCAGAACCAAGGGTCCGATGAGAAGGTGAAAGATCAACTCCCACCCCCACCTAGCCTATTTTCCCGTGGGTTGGGTTATTGGGGGAGGGCTGCTATGCTCTTTGTCCCTGTATTACAACCTTCCATGACTGCCAACAGCTAGGGTGCAGAACAGTGGCTTTGGTGATGTTGGAGCACACAGCTCCTGCCCAGACCCAACCACATTAACTTCCCACCTACAAAAATTCTCCGAAGAAATGGCTCCCTATCTCCTACTCAGTTTCATTTCCAGTGAGTTTTCCAGATCCGCCATCACCCAGCTTTTCCAGAAAAACAGGCCCAAATTAGCTAGCTTGTTGTTTTGCATTTGGTCTAATAGCTCAAGAATTATAGTGTACGGGACTACTGTTCTGGTCAGGGTAGTCTGAGGGCTCCCCGAGATCCTTGGAAAGCCAGCTTTGTAGATTACTGATAGTTCAGACTGGTATTGAGAGTCCAGATAAAGAACTAGAGTAGATTCTGGCTATAATTCTTGGTGCAGTGCCCTGACCTCTGCAGCTCGCTGGAAAGGAAGTAGTCTCGAATCTCCTAGCAGGGGACCCCATAGTGTCCCTGCACATTCATCTCGGAATCCTATCACCACAGACACCATCAGCACCCAAGTGTGGCTACTCTCAACATAGCCACACACTTTCCTCTGCAGGGACAACCTCCCACAATGATCTGCATGCCCCACAGTTACAAATGGTCATGGTTACAAATGGTACAGACTGGACAATTGAAATATGATATACACGGTTGTCCCTCACACACAACCAAAGCCACACAATTAGAGATGACACACCATCAGAAACACACGTTTATCACAAAAATAGTCACAGAGCAAAACTAATGTGGACTTTCACACACATTAGCATGACTTATACAATCAGAAAAATGGGAATCATAAAATTACCCAAACAGTCTCAGTTTCTCTCTCCCCCCTCTCTCTCACACACACATACATACACACACACACACATACACCACTGTTGTAATACAATGATAGTTTTGATTTGCAACCTAAGGAGAAATACATTTTTACACTAAAACTGCAAACATAATCACGTCTTCAAATATCATTTCAAGAATTTACCAGCAGTAACACCCTGATTGCCCAGGTTACTACAAACAAACTCCCCCCCCAGATGCCTCTCCCATGCTCTCAAATGCTAGCAGTCTCAGGATAAGCCTGATGCCCCCTCAGCTTCACCTTCTCCCCACCTTCAGTCTCCCTCTCTCCAAGGCCTGAGAAGCTTACCCAACCATAAATCCCCCAAGCTCAAGTACTAGATGCTGGTTCTTCAGACCCAGCTTGCACCAAACCCAACTAGTTACAAAATGCTGGACTCAGCAAGGAGCAGACGCCCGACTCCTGAACCGGAGGGTTTTATTCTCTTTCCACATAAATTACACAAGCACTTTATAAAATGATTACACAGAAAACACCTTATAAGTGCATAACTTACCCCCCTCCCCAAACAGGATCTGGAGAAATGGGCTGAATTTGTGTGAAAGCCTGTCTGTGCATACCTGGGTACTGCACTGATGTGAGGGCCTGCCAGGCCAAGTTTGGCTGTTGTGTGTGGGCTGGTGTGTCACAGTGTGACTATGGCCTTGTGTTTGCTTAAGAGGAGGTCCATGCTGTGAGTCTGAGTCACCCTGGACTATGCCTAACAGCAAGGGTCATTGCTAAGATCCTGTGTGTGTGTGTGTGTGTGTGTGTGTGTTACTCTGCAATGGGCCCCTATGTATGTGGCACCTGGAGGGACAATGTTATCACCTGCGTTTCCGTTTCCAGATTTCTACAGATAGCTGGCTGGGGATCCCAGAAGCCCTTCCAAGTCCCACTTCCCTTGGGTCTCTCTGTCCCATATTAAAATCAGAATAACATGAAATAGAGGAAAACGGAGAGGATTCTGAGTTCGAGTGGGGCAGGATCACACTGGCTTCTGGGAAGATGTCTCTGCCTCTCTCCGCAGCCCTCTTCCATCGAAGACAGAACAGTGCCCACAGGTGTGTGGAGGAGGCGCTTGGGAGCCACACCAGAGAAGCCACATCCCCCTCCTGACTGTAAGTCAAAAAGGGCAGAGAGAGTTTTGGTTCTCCAGATAGCTCTCAACTGGGCTTGGATCCCACTGGGTGGAGGTGTAGGCTCACTCGCAAGCCGAAGCCACCGACGTGACGCTAGTGATTTTGGTGGAGTCGTCAGACCATGGCTGCAGGTTCTGCAGGGCAAAGAGCGAAGAGTTGTGCACACACAGTGGATCTGCGGGCAGGGGCTGGGCCAGGCTCTTCTGGAAGGCCTCCTGCTGCAGCTGCAAGAGGATGCGGTTCGCCTGCTGCCTCTCAGCCTCACGCTCCTCTGCTGTCTGCCTCCTGCATTGGGAACAAGCTGTTACCAGCCAAGACTCTAACCCTCTTCCTGCGCCTGCGCGCAGGTTCCCAAGAGATAACCCCTAATGCACCCCTCAGCTCCTGTGTGGGCCCCTTTCATGCACTCTCCACTGTTGGGGGTCTTGATTATGACAAAAAAAACCCCACTTGGAAACCCCAAAAATGGATGGAGCACAAGTATCCCTAAAGGAGCAGTGGTAAAGTCCAACGAGCCTAACCTGCTGGGCCTCCCCCATTAACGCAGAGTGCCTACACTCTCACTGGCTCGCCACGGATGGCTAGTATATCCCAAGACCAGGTGCTATCCCAAGTCCAAAGGACACAGAGGGAGGACCAGCAGAAGGACATGTCTTCTCCTCCTCTCCTCCAGCCTGGCCCAGGCTTCAGACTTCCTGAGCCAAATCCTGTGCCCCTAGGCTCCCGCTGGACCTACTAGCTTCCTCCCAGGCGGTCTTGGGAGGCAATGACTCACTTATTCCATTTAATGCCGCCCCTCCACCCTGTCAACTGAGATCAAACGTCTGTCTCTAAGGTGGACAGACCTAATGGGAGTCCCCGGGGCCTCCAGAAGCAATTTGTAGGCGATCGATGAAGCCGCTTGAAGCCTTCGACTCTTCCCGAGGCCAGGCGGCTGCCTGCCTGCTCACACAGAGGCTTCCTGACTTTTCCTTGTCTTTCTGTCTCTCATCTTCCCTGGATTTTAAACTGTCCAAGTGTTTCCCTTCATGCTGCCTTATCCCCGTGTTTCCTCTCTGCCCCTTCGTTTTCTCTGAATTAGGGGACTTTGTTTGAACCATGTTTTTCTAAATAATCTGATATCTTCCCTTTCACACAGGCTTCTTGCATCTCTCACCCATCCCCGTCCTCCCTTAAACCATATTTATTTTCTTCTGAAATGGGGTATCTTGGTTCCTTTCCTTTGTGTTTAAGTTTCTCTCCTTGTCTGTGGACGACTTTCTACACGCACACCCCTTCTCCAGGCTCCCACCACCCTTAGCTTGGAGAGCATCAGCCACCCTCCTCAGCTAGCCTGGCTTCTCTCTTAACTAGTTTTCCAAAGGTCTGAAGCCTCTTTCCCCACTCCTTCCCCAGCCACAGGAATGTTGGTGGGGGGCAGCCAACTCGCAGGGCCAGGGCTTCCTTTGTGGCCTCGAAGGCGGAATCCCGGGCAGATTCCTCGCCTCCATTCAGAAAAAGAGGAAACTCCAATTCCTTCCTCCCGTCCCAGGCCCGCCCGGAGCGGCGCCGACTTTGCCCAGACTCCTGCCACACACCTCCCCAGGGTCTGAACTGAGAGACTCTCAGCAGCACAGGCGAAACCAGAATGTGGACGAGGTGTGCGGAAAGGCGCGAGAAGGTGCTTCTGGAGAAAGATTGGGTATGAGCAGAGAATAAAGCTGCTTAAAGTGTGTAGTTCTTAATATTCATGAGAATCGGTGGGAAAGGGGAGCAGAAGACGAGGAAGGTCGAGGCGTATGCACTCGGAAAAATAAAAAGCGAGAGTGTGGTAAGTGCTGTTGTCGTATGTCAGAAGGGAAAATGTCTCTTTCTTTCTCACGCACACCCATCTGCTCCTAATTGATCCCCCCCTTTCAGTGGGACTCGAGAATCCCCGCCACAGCCGGCGCAGATTGATTTTCCCCTTCCAGGATGGGGGACGAATGCGCAGAGCTCAAGCGCCAGGGGAGGAAGCTGTAAGGAGCGGCAGCCGGCGGTCCCGGGCCCCAGACGCTCCGAGGAGAGTCCGGCTGGAGCGCAGAAACCTGGCGCGGGTCATTCTGTCTCCAAGTCACAGGGTCAAGGAAGGTTCCACCCAGTAAAGGCAGGCTGGGTAGTCAAAAAGTCCCTAAAAGACTCACTGAGCACAGAAGTCCGGATGCATAGACTGGTCTATAGGCCTGTTGGTCTCAGAGGCAGAAACCAGCCGCGTCTACAACGGATAGAGTGTACTGTCTAGAAAGCCCCGAAGCGTCTCTTAAAACACGTCTGGATTCTCCAGCCCACCAGTCTACGGCCCTCCATTGTTTGCAGTCCCAGGGTGACTCTGGGAGCCCACTTGTCTAAACCGAACGGAAACCAACAAGCAGAAGTTGTGTGTGCCACCCGAGAGAGGCAGAGAAAGCCTGCTCCGCCGCGACCGGTCTGCCCTGCGAGCTCACCTCCATTTCGTCCGCCGGTTCTGGAACCAGGTTTTGACCTGCGCATCGGTCATTTTGAGCGCCTTGGCCAGAGCAGCGCGCTCCGCCGAAGCCAAGTACTTCTGGCGGTGAAAGCGCTTTTCCAGCTCACAGATCTGCAGGCGTGTGAAGGATGTGCGCGGCTTCTTCTTCTTAGGTGGCGTCCGGTTCTGATAGGGGTGACCTATACGGCGTGTTACAGTGAAGGGTGAGAGGGCCACTGGAGCGGGAGACAGACAGACGGCAGAGGCAAGCGGCAGAGCGTCAGGAGGCGTCCCAGGCCCGACACCCCGCGAGTCACAGCGCAGCGGTTAGACCCCCTACAAGCAAGGCAGCAATCCTCCCCTCAACCCCCTACTCTGAGCCCGGGATGCAAAGAGCTCCCCGCTGCCCGCCAGGCTGATGCCTCCCCAAGCCACCACTTCAGAAATCTCCCTAACCTGGGGCTTCGGAGATCCTATCGCTTCCCCTGTGGGTCCCCTTTCCCCCACCTAGGGACAGCTTCTTTAGCCTCAGTCACTAAACTTAAAAGGGTCACTCAAAAGTAAGAGGCCCAGCCTCTAAGTCCCTTTCTGAGTCTTGGTCACAACCCCACACTCACACAGCAGACATAGCTACAAACTTTCAAGTCTGTTCTCCCACAGACAAAAATGCATACCTAGACAGGCCACAGGCCAACACAGGACTATGGCCATACACTCCCTCAGGACCTCCTTCAGATTGGGTTGACTGTGTCTCCCCAGAGTAAGCCTGTGCCAGATACCTTTTGTATAGTAGGCTCACTGTAGGACACGCGCGCGCGCGCGCACACACACACACACACACACACACACACACACACACACACACACGAAACAGTAGGCTCATAGTATGAATTCCAGTAAAGCCCTTCAAGACAGTTTGGGCTAAGCAGGGCAGTGAGAAAGGGCCGAGGCCCTGTCTCTTTCCTCATGAGAGGACTTCTGTTGTCTCGCTGGAGTCCCCCTCCCCCTCATCCCCCGACCAAGGATCCTTCTTGGATGCCCCACAGTGAGCACAAAGACATTTCTACTGTGGTCCCAAAGTCTGTCCAGGGCCTCAGTCTCTCTGCCTCTGCTGTCTGTAACAGAAACGGAGGGGGGGCTAGTGCAACTTGGGGTTGCCTGGACAGGTCTAGCTGTAGACTGTTCTTTCCATATGAACACACACGCGCGTGCACACTCGCGAGCACACACACACACACCTTCACAGTTAAGGCATGGAACTTGCCTGGGTAGTCCCAGGCACAAGCAGGGACCTAAACCTCCTACCTCTCCTCTTTAAAGTCCAACAGCTAACTGGGGACCAGTTCCTAACAGATGCGAGTGCGAATTCAGGCATGAACCTGCCTGGGACGGCTCACAGTCTCAGGATCCGGGGACATCTAAAGGGAACCAGCGGGAAATGAGCGCTGGGGAAAGAGGGCACACCAGAGCTGGGGCCGGGAGCTGGGGCAGAGGGGAACCAGCCGCAGAGAACCCAGCAGTTGGTCGCCACCGAGTGTATACTAGTCCCGGGTCCCGGGCGTTGTCCTTTAGCCAACTCGCTAGCCACGCGGGTGCATTATTTATCCCAGAAATAGGAGAGCGGACCCCTGGGACCGATAGCGAGAGAGAAAACGAAGAGCGGCCCAGTCCCGTGCTGCAGCCACTGACCCGAGAAGAAAGCTGGTTGGCTGGGCTCCTTCACCCGGCCTTCAGGCCTTTACCCGTACTAGAGCTGAGAGCACCCAAGTACGTGTATGTGTGTGGAATGGGGGACGAGAGGTTGGAGAATCTTTTCCTGTGCCCAGTTCTGGGGCTCTTGGCCTGCTTCACTAAACAGCAGCCAGGACAGAAAAACATTATGCTCACATGGCGTACTTTCTCCGACCTGCAAGCCTCAACTGTTGACAGAAGGTGCTACTGAATCTACAGCCCTCTACCCTCTACCTGCCTGGGCCCCCCGGGATCCCGAGAGGGGACCAAGTTTTGTTTCTACAAACGGGGTCCTAGAGTAGAGACAGAAGAGCCCCTGCCTAGGAACTCTTCGAGCTTAGCGATTCTTAGCGCATTGAATCCTGCAGTCAATTGAACTTGGGGAACGCGTACAGAGGCGCTAGGCAACCT